CCCGGGCCGCCTCCAGAGCGACCTTCCTCAGCGCCGCCTCCCCTTCATCGCCTCGTCAGCGCCAACCTCCCGCCGCCGCCCGTTCGAGGAGGAAACGCAACGTCTCCGCTTGCTCGACCGAGAACGGGCCCCCTGCGCCGCGCACCGCCCGCAGCAACGCTCCTGAATCCGGGCACTGCGAGAGCAGCGCGTCGGCCAGCACCACATCCATGGCGGGCGGAAGGGCAGACCGGCAGCAGCAGGAGAGGAGCCAGCGAAGGCCTGCCTTCCCGGTTTCTTTCCCTCGCTCTCCCCCAGCAGCCTTTGCGCTTAAAGCGACTCTGGGCAAAGCGAGGCACGGCTGTATACACAATAGGCCTTGCGGTGGTTTCGCGTCCTCTGCTTTGGCTTTTCGGCACCCCGAAGAGCCATCGGACAGGCAGAAGCAGAAGAGCGGGAGGCAGCCTTCTTCATCTCTGGCCTCCCCATGACTCTTTTCACTGTATCACTTAGAAATGGCAAGGGCTGTAACTGTGCATTTAGGGCGAGGGATCTCCCACTCAGTCTGTCCTTGAACATGGACGTGCCCCCCCCATGTAAAAGGAATAGGAGGAAAATATGGTGCCACCTCCACTCCAAAGAAGAGGGAAGTAAGGGATCTCCCACTCAGTCTGTCCTTGGACATGGACGTGTCCCCCCCCCCCATGAAAAAGGAATAGGAGGAGGAGAATATGGTGCCCCCTCCACTCCAAAGAAGAGGGAATTTTTATGTTCATAAAAGGAAAGGGAAAATAAATGAAAGTATATTCCCATTTATTTTCCTAATATTTACCACTAGATTTATCTCTGAAAGGTCTGGTGCTTTCTAAATCTTGGAGTATGTAAGTAATTCCCTGCAAATGGTTCTGGGATGGAGATGGAACAGTTTGGTCCGCTAGACAGCTAGATGTTACAACATGGGCCTGTCATCTGTAGCCAGGAGATACTACTACTGTACCTTGAAGAGTCATGAAAGTTGCACCCTGAAAACTTCTAGAGGCTGCAACAGTTCCTGTGTTCACTAGATCAGAGCAGGAGTGGGTGATCTCAGCAGGCCAAAAGTTATGGTTTGGATTTGTTGGGCACCCAAAGCCTTGCTCTCAACTAATGGGGCTAGAGAGGAAGGTGTGACCCAAAGCTAATTTGTGCATTTTATTATTTTAAATTTTTTTAGTGCAGTGGTTATGTCTTGCACATGTTACAAACACTGCTAGGACAGTTGCTGTCATCACAGCAGTACTGGGTTGAATATATAAATGTTAGGAAATTTATAGAGGTGTAGAGATAAAATGGAAGGCTGAGTGAACCTTGAGTTGGCTACCTGGGATTGAACCTGGGTTGTGAGCAGAGTTTTGGTTGCAGTGCTGCAGTTTAACCACTGTGCCACAAGACATTTAGAACCACCTAGTTCAAGCAGAAGTGTACTAAACAGTTTCTGGAGGACTACCAGAGAAGAGGGCTTTTGTCTTCATATCCTCCATCTGGAGGCATCTGTCTGGCTACTGTGGAAATTAGAACCAGTGTCACGTAGTGGTTAGGATGCTGGAATGAGGCATGAGAACTTCAAGCTATAATGGGCAAAGAGCAAAAGAGAGACATTATAGACATAACGAGAGGAAAATCTGTAACCAATGGACTTGGCCAAGTGTTGTGGCAGAGGCTTCTCCAGGATATGTAAATTAGCCGGATCTGCTTGGTCAGCAATCTTGAAACCTGGGATTCCTTTGATATCTGATTTTGCAAATCTAAAAGATTCCCTCAGTTATTTCTCCAACATTTACTTGCTTTCAACTCTAATCAATATGTGTATATAACATCTGTTTCTACTCTGCCTGGTGGAAATCATGGAGTAACCTCATGCCAGCCACTCTCAGTCTTACCCACCTCACAGAATCTCTTTTATAATTTTATTTGCTTTATAACTTTATTAATAATATAGCTACTTGGAGCTCCAGCAAGGGCAATGCTTGGAATTCAATCCAAGTCCATTAAGCAAATGTAATATTTCAGCTTAAAACATACAGTTTGTACATTAAAATCCTAAAGAGCACAGAAACATAAAGAAAAGGGAATTTTAAAAACAAGGATGGAGAGACAAGAGAGAGGTGTGAGCTCCACCATTGTCACCTGTAGCCGTGCTATTAGAGAAAACAATTAGTTGCCGTTCATGCACACTGATCTGTATCTGTATCAAAAATTAAAATGATTGTGAGATCTTTGAGAAATCCTGACAGGTAAAAAGAGGTCAGTGAAATTCCTTGCCCAAGGATATGTACTCCAGTCTCTCGTGATAAGTTTATAGAGGGGTCCATAAGATCTTTTTACTTGTCTACTTTTTGTTAAGGATGGTTAATAGTAACGGTTTGATCAGATGGCAAGAAAGGTGCACATCTGATGGCACCAGCAAGAGTTGCTTTGCCAGGGGCGATCTCCCTTGAAGTGACCTTTCCATCAATCGGAAATGCTCAAGCCCAGGCCCAAAAAGGAGTCGCCCTGCCACTGAAACAAAAAGGTACAGCTTGGGCATGGGTTAAGGTTGAGCTTGTGTGCTATTGCCCACGTGTTGTGTGATCGCAGGGCAATAGCCTGCACCAGATCACACCAAAAGCAGCCCAAAATGCAAGGTATGTGACTGTATGATCACACCCTAAGTTTATTTTTAACATGCACCTGATAAAATGCCCTCCTTGGCATTGCCCTTAAAAGTTATGACCATGTCAGGGCTGTCCCAGCCATGACCGTATGATCACACCCTAAGTTTATTTCTAACATGCACCTGATAAAATGCCTTCCTTGGCATTATGACCATGTCAGGGCTGTCCCAGCCATAACCCTTAGTAAGGCAATCACCTCAAGCAGCAGATGGTGGGAGACAGAGAATGGAAGTGAGGTGTTGAAGGACATGACTGTGCCCACATTGCTTACCTTCTTCCCTTAAGCAGCTATTCCACTATCCTTAGGAGGCCTTGGAGGACACTGACCCATTTTTAGTATTGATGATTCAACTACCAATCCAGCTATTTAGGGAATGGGGAAATCTTTATCCTTTGCTTTAAGTAATGAGATCCCTTAGGCTGGCCCTGAGCTCCTTCATTTTCCGCATTGCTCTAACCAAGTCAATGCACAAGTCCTACTGATAATGAAGTCGAGAAAAGCACGAAGTTACTGTCGCCATGCTGGATAGATCTGAAGAGACAGAAGCTGCAGTTTTGCTCTTGCCTGTAAAGACAGGGAAACAGTTAGGCAGCAAATGGAACCAGAGCCTGAAATAGAAGACAGGGAAACAGGCAGCAAATGGAACCAGAGCCTGAAATACTGTTTTTACATTCCATGCATGTTGCCCATCCTTTTTAGCACAATATTCATCCCCTCTCAATGTTATATGCTCACTACCTCCTGATATGTTGCATACATCCTTTTATACAGCTCATGCTTGTGGCGACTTGTGTTCCATCAGGATTAGTAAGGCAAGGTAGCAAATGGGAAGAGAAGCCAAGAGAAGCCAAATACATGGGAACTTCTTTCTTCTGCTTCTGTTCCCTTCTCGCAGTTCTATCCATTTAATATCTACTGAACTGAAGAATTGTTTCTTACATTGGTTTCGTAAGCTTCCTTGCCATTGTACTTACTTCTTAGCTGAGAAGGTGGCCTGTGGCCTGTTCTAGCTACTAGGTGGAAGGAGAAAGGAGATCGTTCCCTTTCTTGTCCTATAAGCTGGACTTCAGTGGATCCACTCTTCTTTCACATTTTGCTCTGCTTGGGCTAGTTATTCTTAGGTGGAGGGAGCTGAAAATCTAGGCATTGTACTTGCAGACCTACAAGATCCATCCTTTCCACTCCTGATGTAACTACATGTGTTTCTATGCTATCAAGTTGGAACCAATGTATAGCCACCCTAATAAGGTTTTCAAGGCAAGTGAGATATTGAAGATATTAAGATATTGAAACTCCCCCAAGGAGTTTCCATGGCCAAGTGCAGATTTGAACCCTGTCCTCCAAAGTCTTAGTCCTTCACGCTATCCACTACACTGCACTGGGAATCACATTGGGTTATAACCATCCTCAGAGGAAAATAATAATTAAATATTTTTTTCAAGGCCAGAATAGCAGATTTCAAGCTTACAGGATCTACTTTGGGATTTTTATTTTGGAGTGTGTGTGCATGCGCATGCACTAGAACTTCAAAATAGCCCAAGCAGTTCATCACAACAGACACACACATATAATCAAAGAATTCTGAGCATGGAATATGAGTGACAGAACTGAAGGGAACTGACATTTTAATGTGCTGCTGTTAAATAATTATGAGAAATCCTTGCAGATCCAGTGTAATCACAGAGAGATCTAAAGGGGCCCCTTTGGTCTGCCCTCTTTTGAGCTCCCTGACAATAAAATGATTACAATGCCTCATTCACCCCAATCTTTCCAAACAAACAAGAGGCAGTGAAGAAAAAGAAGAGATTGATGGCCTAGTAATCTCTGTCCTAATTCTCCCTTATTTTATCAGCTTGTCTATGCTGAGGTTTAGCAAACAGCCTTGCTGCAGCATCTTCTTATTTTTTAGCTACAGTGGATATTTTTAGATTCTATATTGCCAAGCATCAAAGACAGATCAGCCTAAAAATATTTGGATTTTACCATCTAGTGATATAAGGGAAAGATCAACTCTGGCTCTCATTTGTATGTCCTAATTATTTTAATTAACACACATTGTGTTTCTGGTTACAAGGATCACATAACCTCCCCCACCCTCCATTACAATCCTTTCCGAGCTGAATTCAAAGGGCTGGTTCTAACCTATAACGCCCTAAACGGCTTGGGTCCAAGCTGTCTCAAGGACCACATCTCCCTTTCTGACCCTGCTCGAGTATTAAGATTATCAGAGGACGCTGTTTTCTTGGTCCCACTACCTTCACAGGTGTGTCTGGTGGAGACACAGGAGAGGCCCTTCTCTGTTGCTGCTCCCAGAGTTTGGAACTCCTTCCCTCAGGAGGCCAGGATGGCCCCATCTTTGCTGTCCCTCTGCAAGCAAGCAAAGACCTTTCTCTTCAGGCAAGCTTTCCCTGAGCAAATGGCTGCCTGAGAGGGGTTTTAAAATGGATTGTTGCATGTTACAGCACTGAATGTGTTTTGGTGTTTGCTTATGTTTTTTGTAGGGCATTTGTTTCATCCTTTCTTAGCATTTGTATGCTC